TCTCATCCTGTGTCCGTGCCACTGACCAGTGCAGGGACCATGGGGAAAATCTTCTCCCATAATCACTTTTCCATGAGTATACACTACGTTAAAGTCAACTGGAATGTCTCCTGGCAGCAAGAAATTCTCTCTGCTGCAGAACTTGTCTTTAGAAACACTTCTCACTGTCTTCAGAAAAACAGGAGACTTGGAGGTGGGAGCCCTTGGAGCTGGGGGAAGGCTCATCTGACTTCTGAGGCCTTTTTCCCTCTCTCTCACTTACATGCTGTTCCTTCAAGCTGCTACAGCCAGAGTTCCTACAAAAATGTCCTGAAAACCACCTGATGAGGTAAATGGGAGCAATGCCCTCCACAGGTGCTGCACAGGCAGCATCCTGGGGCAGCCCTACAAAACATCCCACATGGGCTCTCCAGTGACCGCTCGCTTCAGCAGAGCTTTGAGATGGACTGGGAGGGATGTGAGGCCCCTCTGTGAGCAGTGCTGAGGGCCACCAGTGGCACTGGGGCTACAGAACCACTTCCCACACTGGAAACAGGGACGTGAGACAAATTCCCACTTACCTCCTGCATTCCCAACTTGGGGTGCTCCATCTCTGAGAACCAACTCAGTCCCCTCATCCTCACCGGCCTCTGAGACGCCCCAGGAGTGGATGCCAGCCCCTGTTAAAAAGCACCACGGGCTGCAGTGAGCTGGCTGCTCTGAGCAAGATCACTCTGCTGCAGGCTGCACCTCCTCACCCACCAGGAGCAGCTGAAAAGGGGCCTGGGCACAAATCAAGGGTGAAAATGTCCAGGCCATCAGTTGAGTGTGGGTCCAAGCCCACCCACAGATGAGACCTGGGCTCCATCTGCACCTCCTACATCAAACTTGCCTGGGAACTGGGTGCCCCCAGCACTCAGGCAGGGAGGGTTGGAACTACATAATCTCTGAAAGTCCCTTCCAAGCCAAACCATTCCAGGATTCCAGGATGGCCACTTGAATTTCCCTGGTTTACGTGTGTGCATACATGGCAACAACCAGGAAATAAAGATGATTTTGTGCTTCTATTTGAAACCATTCAGCCACACTGTTCATATAGGGCTTTGTTTCTCCTGATTCAGAAAAACTGTGCAGTGTAGAAACAACTGGTATTTGTGTGTGAGCAGATACAACCCTTCTCCTTAAACCTAATGCCAACACTGGGCTTTTGAGAAACTCTTCTGCTTCCTTACATCTTTTTTTTAAACTGCATAATAGTAAGTGACTTTTTACTGCCCCATAATAAGTGACTTTGCAAAGTCTTGCTTTATAAAAGACACCTCTGGAGCTGTCACTGCAATACCAGCTTCTGGGTGAAGGCAGAGATGTGAGTGCTCTAGCTGGGTTTGGAAGGGGCTCCGTGGAGATCAGGAATCCTCTTCATGGATTGACACACATGGGAAGCTGGAAGCCTTCTCATCATGATGCAGATAAAGACCTCATTTTACATTGTAAAGAAAATAAGCCAAAAAATCCCAAACTCAGCACAGGTCTGTAGGATCTGAACGAGCTTCACTGAGCAAAACTTTCCTATTTGTACCTCCCAGACACCCCATGTCCAACTGCCACTTTCAGGGCACAGGACAGAAGGGCAGCAAAAAGGGAGGTTGGCACGAGTATGATTTTTTGGTGGCAAGCTGGGGAGGCAAAGCAAGTGGTAGGTGCACAAGAAAATCCACCTCTGTTTCCAGGGAATGCTCTGCATCTGCTGGCTCCTGGTCAGAGTCCTCCTGAGCAGAATCCTCCTGAGAAGAGTCCTCTTGAGCAGGATCCTCCTGGGCAGGATCTTCCTGGGCAGGATCCTCCTCATCAGAATCCTCCAGGGCAGGATCCTGCGTTGTTTCCGGGGTTTCAGCCAGCTCTTCCACACTTTCAGTCCTGGAGTATCTCCATGGAAACACTCCCTTCTTCTTTGGTGACTGTGGCTTGAATTGAGGTGGTGAAGGCATGAACCTGGAAAATAACATAACTGTGATGGTGAACCTGCAGTGGGAGAGAGAGGTGCCTGCAAGAGCAGCTCCTCACTGCACTGCAGCCCCTGGCTGGGTGCCGGGGTGCTGAGCTCAGTAACAGCCACTCCAGAACCAGGCTGGAGCAGCTCCATGCTGGGAGCAGCACGGGGATGATGATGCTCATACCTTATGGTGTGCACCTTTCTGTCTGTCAGGAATGACCAGTGGTAGTTGACAGGTAGTGGGCTGCAGTTGGTCATCCCCATATGCAACACTTGTTCAGTGTCATTTATGATGCAGCCAAAGTCCACGGCCTTGGTCGGGAGGTGGAGATTTGGGAAGTAGACTTCCCCCCGAACACGGACCTTCTCCACATGAGGATGCTCCATGAAGCTCACCTTGAGAACCTTCTTTACCACCCAGCTGATCTTACTTTTCTTATAAGCTGGGTTAAACCGGATGTAGAGATGAAGTTCCTTCCCCACATCCACTCTCAAAGGCTGCAAGGAGATGAGCAGTAATTAATCACCTGTGGGATGATGTCCCAAGGTCTGACAGCATGAAACAGTAAATGCTCCAAGTGACCCCAGCACGGGCTTCTCAGTTCATGGTTCATCTCTCTCCAGCAGGGCTCTGGCTGCAGGCACCACAGTCCAGTCCAGGATCCCTCAGGCTCCCGTTTGTGTGCTCAGCCCCAGTACAAGGGGGTGGCTGCTGGAGAGCTGGCATGGCTTTCCAGGAGACACCTTCCCTGCATGGCTTGCCTCCATCTGCTTTCCTGCTCCCCTCTCCTCATGTTTTAGAGCCAGCATGGATGTTACCAATTCAGATAAGATTTTGATTCCTTCAGCAGCTCTGCTGATTCAGCTCAGGCCAATCCACTGCTGACACTACAGTATAAACTTCTCAACTTGAGGACCTCCCAACAGAAGTGCACCACCACATCCCTCCTCCTCAAACCCCACTGAAGAAGCCCACAGAGGCTCACCTTGGCATTTGCAGGGAGGGGCTTCTGGTTCTCATTGCAGACCAGGAAGGGCTGCTCCAAGTGCAGCACAATGCTGAATGGCAGGGAGCTGGTGTTTTTTAATGTCAACAGCTGGTACTGCAGTGTCAGGGCATCACTGGGTTTCTACAGAAACAGGAGACAAGGGCAAACGACCTCAAGTGCCATAGACCTCCTTCCCCTTCCAATGCATGTCACATTTTTCAGCCCCAGAAGTGCATCTATTTCTATTTACTTCCAGCCAGTTTAAGAGTTACACCTTTAAATGCCAGGATGCAATCTGGTGACTTTACCTTTTCCACACGGAAAGCGATGGCTCTGGGGGACATTTGCACTCCAGGGCAAATGAAGTTGCAGATGACATCCACTTGCAGGATCTGTTTCTTTGTTATCTCTTTCCCCACCACAGCGTGACACAGCAGCCGCTCCTTCACCTCCTGCACACAAGAGTCCCTTGTCTCCCAGTGTGTGCTGGCAGGCCCAACACCCCACACTGCCTTGCCACCCACCCATGGGCCCCATTCCTGTCACTTGTTATTAGGGACTGTAGTTAGTCTCTGCTCTCCTCAGTAGCTCTCTTTTCTTTCTGTGCTGCCACCTATTTACTCTAACTATCTGTGCCCAGGGGTCCTGGAGCCAGGGAATGCATACCAGACTTAGCTGGCAGCTTCTCTGCAGAGTTTCATTGCCCTGGAAAGAAAGGTCCAGGTAGGAGAACACTCCCAGACTCTGCTAAAATCTCCCCCTCTGAGTTGCTCTCCAGGGGTGCTGCAAAACCTGGCTGCCCCTGGGACACCAGGGCTGGCTGAGACACTGGGGCAAGCAGTGATAGAAAAGTTGACCAAAGTCCAATTGTCAATTCTGATGATCCCTGGGAACAGTTTCCTGCCTGGACGGACATTGCACTGATCATTAGAGCTGGCACACTGTGTTTTCCCCTCCAGGACTCATAGCTAGAGCAGCCCTGTGCCCAAGTTTGTCTTCAGAGGAAAAGCAATGCTGCTCCCAGACACTCCTGCCATTCCCAGGGCTTTTCTTTTCCTCCCTGGGTAAAGGGTTTTTCCCTCAGAAAAAGCACTTGACAGTAGTTTAATTTGCTTCCTGCCTGGGCTTCTAGTCTAAGTTCAACTTCTTTTCTCTGCTCTTCCTTTCTCCCTCAGCACATGACACAGGTAAGCCCTGTTTGGCCAAAGGAGCAGTACTTCCTTCAGCCTGTATTTTGGGATCAGCAAGTTGGGTTTATGGTAGTTAGGGAAACACAAAAGAGCCGTAGCAACTGCTGGTGGCCAGCAAGGAAAGCAACTGGCCTTGAAACAGCTTCTTGAAGTCACTTGCTCCTTTTGCCAGGCCACTGTCAAGGGGCTGCAGAAGAAGCTGCAGGGGGGGGATCTGGTGGGGAAGGCTCAGCCCTGGGCAGGGGCCTCACCTGGACAGTGCTGGAGCAGCCTTCCAGCACCATGTCCACAGTCTGGCCCGGCCTCAGGTCCACCTGCACTGGCCGCACCTTGAACACGGGGCTGCCAGGCCTGGGGATGGGGGCAGCCCCTCGGCCCTTGGTGGCAGCGGGGGCAGGGGCCCGGGAGCCGCGGCGGAAGGTGCGGAACCCTTCTGTGCTCCAGTACAGCCGCTGCGTGCGGCGGCCTCTGTTGGTCAGCTGGAAGTGGTAAAAGCAGGGACTGAAGCTACAAGAGAAGAGAGATGGAAAATGTCATGGCAGCTGTTATCTCCCTGGCATCACTCAGCTTCAGCTTCACCCTGATGGCATTCCCTGACTGCAATAAAACCTCCACCCAAAAGGCTGCCCAGGCTCAAAGCTTCAGCCCTGCCAGGTCTTCCAGCTTTTCCATTTCTGTGGCTTTTCAGGATATCTAGCAACTCTTGGATGACATATTTCTAAATGAATTCCTGTGGCTTCATGGAAACAGAGCTAGGACCTTGAGTACTGAAGAAGATCTAGCCTGAAGGGCTATGGAAAAATTGTTCCTTGCTGAACACACAGGAGATGTGGAAGTTTCTAGAGTCTCCTACCTGAAGCAGGACTTCAAGTCGAGCTTTGGAATGAGAGGTTTGTCTGTGACAACTGTGGTGCCAATGCCCACAGCCTGGAGAGAGATGATGGTCACAGGGTTGTTCTGAATGAACACCTTCACCTTCTCCTGGAATTTCACTGTGTCATTCAGGTTTGCTATGACAGCCACAGACACCTCAGAATTAGGGGGGACCACTCCTTTGCTGGGCTCAACCCTCCAGCAGGAACGTTTCCCAGCCTGTAGGACAAGACAAACACAAAGTTAGATGGAAGCCATGGACCCCGCTCTGCTGTGAGGTGCAGGAAACAGGAAGGCTAAAGAGATGAGTATAAAAACCATAAAGGTTTAATTTCCCTAAATGTAAGCTATGGTGTCCAGCACAGCAACTCCCCAAGAGCTTATACAACCTGTATTTTACCTTCCTTTAACACACTCAGGTCATTAGCCCTGTTTTGCTCAACCCAAGGGATGCTCCTCCTCAGGAGAAGGTAATTCCCCCTGCTGGCTCTCTTTGGAGTGCTTGCCAAGGGAAGCTGTTCACTCCCTGCTGGCTTCCTGGCAGCAGAGCTGCGTGTGCACAAAGGCTCACAGCCAGAGCAAGGCAGGACTGCTCAAATCCCAGCCCAGCAGCCGCACAGCTGGAGGACACTGCTGAGAGCCTGCAGAATAACTCTGCAAAGCCAGCTGAGCAAAATCCCAAATCTCCTTTCCCAAGGGGCCATCAGTGCTTCTCAACACCCCCTAAAGGACTGAAGCCCTCACTCCCCACCAATCTTCAGCTGTAGAGAGGTGCCCCAGTGCCCTCTGCCTAAAGAAAAGTCACCTCCAAATGCTTATAGCAGAGCAGGAAAGCAGGAAGCAGAAAGAAAACTGGACAACATGTGCTCTGTGGGCATGGCCCACTCTTCCCAAGAACTCTTGTCATCTGCTTTCTCATGGACTTCACAGACTGGCCAAGAGAGCTGGAGGCTGCCCAAAGGAGGGAGGAAAGGCCTTGCACCAGCACAGCTGTGCAGACACTGCTCTGCAGGTCTGGCCCTGGCAGGAGCACATGAAACCCAACCTTTACACACCATGAGCACCCAGCCAAGGGGCATTGCTCCCTGCAGAGGCTGAAAGCAGAACTCCATTGTGGAGTCAGGGAAAGCTGCCCTGCCAATCCTCCACTTTTGGATAACGTTTATCTCCCAAACAGCTGGAAAAGCAGCAAGAGGAAAATTCACACCCCTCCTCCAGGCCCAAGAGGCTGAGCCTGGACTCTCACACAACACCTGATGATTTATCCACAAACACAAACAAGTCCACAGTGTCAGGGCTGGCTTTAACCAGATCCAGAAGTTGAACCCACCCAATATACAGAAGATCAAATGTCTTTTCAAAGCTTTTTTCAAGCCTTTCACAGATGCCCCCTCCAGCAGGGAGCACATCCCACTCAGACCCAAGCCACATACCCTTCCTGGCTGCTCCTCCTGCCAGAGGAGCAGCTGCAGCTCCAGCCCTGTGGCCTGTCCCCCTCTGTAAGCTCCAGGAATGCAACAACCTTCCTCTGCAGGTGATCTCCAGAGCCATTCTGCAATGCTACAGAGACCACAGGCTCTGGGGCTGCACAACCCTCACAGGTGCATTTGCTTGCAACAGCACTACTGGTCTGACCCACAGGAGTTGTGAAACTTGCCTCCCCATGAGCAGCTTGAGAGCAGATCTCACACCCTGGTTTCTGCCATTAACACAAGTTTGGCACAAAGCAAATGCAGATGGAATGGAGTCCATGGGGAAATCCATGCCCTCTTAGGAGCAAAGGGCCACAGGTTTCTCTTGTTCTGAAAGCTCCAAAAACATGACTTGCACAGTTAAGTATCTTCCACAAAATAAAGAGAGAACTTGCAAACACGATCCAAACTCATTTCTGCTCCAGCCTCTCTGCAAACTATTTCACAGAGGCGTGCCTGAGATCCTGGCTCCTCTTGCTTGCACTTGGATGGAATATCTTGCTTCCACTCACACAGAACAATACAGAAATGTTGCATCCAAAAAACAAGTCAAGGGCTGCTAGTAAGCAGCACTTTTCCCTAGAAAACAGCCCCACAGACACTTACCATCTCCACCTGGAAGGTTGCAGGAATCTCACACTGATTGGCAAGGTGGAGAGTTTTGGAACGATCTTCTAGGACTGGGATAGAGCCGAAGTTTATCTCCCTGGGATGGACATAGACAACGGGGCCCTGGCAAACGCACTCCAGACGGATCTCCTGTTCCAGGAAGAAGGTAGGAAAGGTCAAAAAAAAGACACAACAAAGGCAGTTTTAAAAGCACAGCCAGCTCTAAGAGCATTCCTAGACTGGGGATAATGATGGCCCTTTGAAGCTGTCGGTGGTGCAGACTGAAACAGAAGGCCTGGAGTAAGTGTGGGGTCTGCAGTGATCCCACCTGAAAGCCACAAGCTCCCATTATCAGAGGACAGAGCCCTGCTGTTTGCCATGCTTGCTTCTTCACACCTCTTCCACATGGCTCTTGCCTTTACCTGCTGCCTGCTTCATTCACTGCTCCACCTTGGCCCAAAGCACCCTCCCAACTTTCACTGCTGCACAGCCATCCTTGAACACTGAGTTCTTTACAATTCAAAAAGCTACACTGGTGAAAGCAGCATGAGTCAGAAGCAAGGCAGGCTCTTCAGAGTCAAGATGAGGCAAGTTAGCTGCCTTCAATTTGTGCTTATGTGTAATCTTCATATATAGGAGTAAGGGGCATTAATTAGCAATTGCATCATTCAAGCAATATTTCTTCCTTAAAAAAAAGGCTGAACTGACTTAATAGTCTGAAACTCAAAAGGATTGTTCTTGCAGAGCTGGCACAGATGGTGGGAGAAGGAACATGGATCCCTTTGCTAAACTACCTGCTCACACCAGTGGAAACCAGGACAATTTATTCAATCTTGTTGGATTTCACTGGTCCTAAATACCCCAACTCTTACACAGGACTTGAATGCATAAAACTCACAACACCAATAAGATTCACTGGAGGGCTTGGAGTATGATTTAACCACAGAAGAAACCAGCCTCTAAGATGTAAAACCTTTTGCAATGTCTGACTTGAGGGAATGGCATTGACAACTGCCAGAATTACCTTAGTCAGAAGGAGCAGCATCCAGAAATGCACATCCCTTCGGGACATACATGACTGTGCAAAGAAGAGCCAGAAACTATGTACCAGGGCTGGTACCTCAAGAATAAGGAATAAAGCCCTGCATGATGAGGGATCTTTTATTCCTCTGGGAGAAGGCAGGCCCAGAGGGCTGCAGCCTGGCTGATGCTGCTGCCCAAGGCTCCCTGGAGGAAGCTACAGGGAGGAGCTGTGCCTCACCAGCTGGCTTCACTTCTAGGTGACAGTGGGACAGAAGCAGCAGAGGCAGGGCAGAGCCCTTTGGAGAGGAGCAGAATAGCACCTGGAGGATGCCTGACCTGGCTTCAGTTAGGGTGTGACAATGGGACAGATCCTCACTGAGGAAAAGGCTTATAAAAACACAAACCCTTCATCTACAGGATTCTTAAAAGGGACAAGAACAGCCCTGCTCAGCAGTGTCACGGGCAGTGTGACACACAGGAAGGAGAATAAGAGCAGACAGCAGCTTTGTCCTCAGTGTTACTGCTACACACACCCCCCACATCCTGCAGCACTGCTGCCTTTGGTGGGGTGCTCATGGCACAAACCAGACTATGGAGGGATGAGGAGCACCGTGCCTGGCAGGCTGGGCCTGTATTTTGTAGCCACTCTTGCTGTTATGACATATGCCTCTTTAGGAGCTCTTTTAGAATCTTCTTTACAATCCTTGGAATCTTCTTCAGAATCTTCAGAGTCCTCTTTTAGGAGGCTTTAGTTCAGGAATTGCTTGCCTTATCCATTTCCAAACTTGGTGGAAAAAACAAGCAAAGCCTGTGCTGCAGATGCAAGTTGTGTGGATATTCATATGGTTTTGGCTGGGCTTTTGTTGAGGAGATATGCTGGGTATTTCTCAGACCTGAGGGACCTGGCTTTCAGAGAAGCCTCCGTCCAGCTCTGCACAAAACATTCCTTCAGCGTTTGCCTTAGCAAATGGTGCTGTAGCAGGATTCAGGGATGTCCCTGTGTGATGCTGAACAGTTGTAATGAAGCAGCACTTGTGTTCATCTGATAACACGGCAGAGAATGAGACCCAGGGACTGATCTGGGTTTCAGCCTGGGGGTGTTATCCCATCTCCCAGATTTGTAACTCTATGCTGGGTCAGGCACTGAGATTGCCACCTGTGAGACTCCCACTCTTCCTCTTTCCTAGGCATGAGCTGCTGCTTGTGCCCCCAGTCCCTTCTGTCCTTGTCCACCAGCCATAAATCACAAGTTCCTGGAAGAATCCCTGTGCAGTTTCCACCCCACTGGGATGAGCTGCTCAAGGCACACGTGTCCCCTTGCTCTCACCAGTGGGGATTCGCTCCCAAACACGGCCAGCTTAGCAGTGATCTTGCACTGTCCCAGCAACTGGGCCTCGAGTTCAATTGGGATCTCCATCGAGCTGTGAGCCTCGATAATGCCAGAGGGTGTAGGGCTGAAGTACCACAGAGCAGCCTCCTTCTTGTGTTCCTGGCAGGGACAGAATCAAAGGCATCTTCAGGACTGAGGAAACTTTAAACTCCTTAACCTCTACCACAAGAGCAACTCCCACATGCTTTTAAAAATTCTCAGGAGGAAGCAGGCAAAAAACAAGATGCAAGGTGTAGGTGCTGAGCATCACCAGGGGGTCCAAAAGTTGCTGCATCAGAAACACCCACCTGGGTGCTGACAGCCTCCTTGCATCAGATTTTCACTACCCTCTAAGCTCTCCCACTTGAAAGCAAGTCAAGGACTAGACTCTAAACATCTTCCTCAAGATGTTAAACTGCTTCCTAAAGTTTGTATTTAGGTTCTTGTTCTCAGAAAACCTTTAGCTTTGAATAGAAACCAGCAAGGTCTTATCCAAACCCATTTATTCCCCTAATAAGCCCCTCAGTAACATTTGAGGGGAGGAGATGGATGCAAGGCCAAACCTGAGTGAGAACACAGTAGGAGGCAGGAAAGTCGCTGTCATTCACCAGGGTCACCTTCTCATCATAACGGACCTTCAAGCAGCAGTGCCCCAGTTCCAGGACAGGGTTGAGCACTTGCAATGAAGGAACGATGCACCTGGGCAAAGAGATGACCCCAGGGCAATTAGAGACACTGGGAGCATGGAGAACTTTTGTCCTCCAGGAGCATGCAATGGAGCAGAAGATATTTGCAAATCTAACAGAGTAGAGTAGTAGAGTAGTCCTACAGCAGTCCAGAGCTGTCTTAGCAGTTTTTCCCCTTCTCTGCCCAAGGACACTTGCAAGGACTCCTGTAACAGTCCCAGTGGTCCATGAGCTCTGGGGGAGCCTTTCCAGTGAGGACCAGTGCCCACTGCAGCAGTGGCTCTCAATTGTCAGCGTCCGGCTGGCTCCAGCACTGCCAGCAGCACGGGGGGCCCTTCTCCCGAGAGCTGCCTTCGGGACAGCGCCTGAGGCAGTGCCCGGCTTGCGGCTGTGGGCACACCTTGGGCAGGACAAAGTCTGGTAAAGGCTGCAACCAGCGGAAAGAAGAGGGCGGACTCCAACTGTGGCGTAATCCGGGCTTTAATGAACCCCGGAGGGACCGACAGGAGGAGACGGGGGGAGGGGGGGGACAGCAATTTTTAAGGGGTAGGGAGAACAAGGGAGGTGCCGGGCATTGGGCCAATGGGGGTGCAGTGGGGAGTGGGGTCCAAGGGATTGACACGTGGGCAGCACCAACGGGAAACATTCTGGGGAGGGGCCCCGGTTCCTCAGCCAACCATCGAACTCCCCTGCTGGAACATTCTAGCAGTAAGGGCGGGCAGTGAGAGTGATTGGCGGGGTACCGGGGAGGGGTCAGAAGACAAGATCCAAGGGTTTCCAGGGAAACCAGGGCGGAGTTTAGGGGATACATTGTTGGCTGGGGTGGAGCCAGGGAGACAGACAGCTCCAAAGGCGGGAAGGGAGAACTGGGGCAGAACCATTTTCAGACAGAAGGGGATTGGAACAAACCAACCTAATAACTTAACAAAACACACTGCAACAGCCCACCAAGGCTCAAGGAACACAAGACTCCAGTGTATCAGTGAAAATGACTCCCTTTTCTCCTCCAGCACTGTTGTCCTGCCTAAAAACTGAATCATCTCTTCCAGCAGTGGAGGGCACAAGGCCCACAGTGCAGGTGATCAACTTCTCCCAGTTCTTAGAGCTCCCTCAATTCTTTCCCCCATGGGTCTCTACACTGAGTGTCCCCATTTGTGCTTGCTTTACAGAACAGCAGCCCAGGCACTGCCTGGATGGCTCTGCCTGGGAGAGGGTACAGCACCAGGAACTGCATCCCTCTTGGCATTAAACTGACACCCACAGCAGCACAGCAGGATGGAATTCTGCTGCAGCAAGAACAACTTTGGGTCTCAACTCTGAGATCATGACTCAAAAGAGCCAGAGGGAAGCAGTGAAAGCTGAGCTGACCTGCCACATCAAGGACTACAGTCCTCTTTGTAAGATCTTTTGCTCTCCCCACTCCTGCCTGGAGCCTCTTCCCCACTGCACATGCAGTGCTGAAGTGAACCAGACCCCAGCTCTCAGCAGGCTGCTCACTGTGTTCCAAACCACTGCTGCAGGGTGGTCACAAGCAGCACAAGTTCACCACTTGCAGGAAGGACAGGCAAGCCTTTGGAAATTTGTTCCAGCTCAAGCACCAAACCCTAGGCCAACAGTTAATAATGTTATTCCTGCTCCCTTTAGAAAAAGGCCTGGGGCCATGGCTGGCTGTGAGCAGGGGGGTATCTCACTATGGGCTGCTTTCCTGGCACTGTTCTCATGTCTAGATGGGCAGATCCAGCTCATGAAGCAACACTTCTCCTTTGGAGCTGCAGCCAGGCAGCGTGCTGGTGCTGGATGCACGAGCAAAGACAAGCAGGTGCAGGAAAGGTGTTGGTACCTGGCTGTGAGGGGCAGTGCAAACGCCTTCTTGCCGACATCTTCCGCGTCCAGCACCAGCTCCACCTTGTACTCCCCAACAGTGTTGGGACACAGGGTGACCTGGCAGAAAAGAAAAGAAGTGCAACAAATATTTGCTAACTCCCAAAATCTCATCACCCATGTGTGCTGGAACTCTTGCTCCATGGTAGACAAAGGGAGGATTTTGCTTTAATTTTCCTGCTGGTCCATAAGTAGAGCAACAGGCTTTGAGAGTAAAAAAAGCCCTCTGGCAATATCAGATTTGCTAAAGGGGCTAATTTTTCACTTGACTACAATGACAAAAATGCAGAAGAAGTCTGTTGTCTTGAATGGAACGAGTCCAGCCTTACAGCAGGAAGCTGAGGGCAGTGTGGCCCAGCACATGCTGGGCAGTTCATGGCTGCAGAGTATTTTCTGTCCCCACTGAAGATTCCTGCAGTGACTACAACTCATCTGCTGCCCCGGAGATGAGAAACAAGACCAGGAAGGAAAGAAAACTGCTTCCTCCAATGATATCTCTCTCTTTAACAGCAACTTTCTGTTTTCATCCTTCCTCTGCCTACTTGCAATCAAAGAAATCACTCTCAAAACCACAAGAATGGCTTCAGGACTTGACCATATGGTATTGATCTCAGTGTAGGATTTTGGAAACAAACCAGTGCTCCTTGAGGAACATCCCGGGTAAGCCAGCTAGCAGAGGCCTCCCAGCAGTGCAGATCTCTCACTCCCAGGATGCTCAAAGCTGGCACCAGAGCTAAAGCCCTCCCACACTGCAGTGAAGCTTCAGCCCCAGCAGCTGGGCTCTTCCCATACCTTGATATCCTGGGATCCCAGGGCACGGACGGTCCCGCTGCAGGGACTTATGGTAAATTCCCTTGGCTTCCTCACAACTTGAGCTGGCCTCCTCCAAGCCTGGCTGCTGGGTTTGACTATCTGAGTAGAGCTGTCAATACTGGGCAGTCCCACGCCATCCCCAGGAACGTAGAGGAAGAAGCCCATGGGTGTTAGGGAGGTGTTAAACAGGCAACACTTCAAGGTACGAGGAAAACCTAAGAAAATGACACAAATACCCATTTAGGCATCAATATCTCATGACTGCTGGTGTGAATATCCTGCTGGTAGGATAAAACTGGGCTTGGATTTTACTTCTTTGTTATCTGAACTACAGCTCATTGCAGTGGATCTATGGCTTGGCTGGCCAGCTATGTGTGGAGCAGACATCTCCCAGCCTGCTCACCAAGAGTCATTTAAACCCAGATGGGGAGGAAAAACCAACTGCAGGCACAGCCCAGGGCTTCTCCATGCCCGTCAACAGTGACTGCAGCAGGGAGGCAAGAGAGGCACAAAAAGGATGTCACAATCTCAAATGCCACTGAGGGAAGCACATGCAGACAACATTCAGCAGCACAGTTAAAAGAAACAAAGATAAAACAGCTGCCCCCAGCTGAAGAAACCTTAGGAATGAAATCAGATTAAGCAGGATGAATCTGCTATTACAGAACCATATTCCTGGTGCCTTTCTTTATTGTGCCACTAACTAAAAGGGAAACCAGAAGTGGCCAAACAGTGATGCTGACTTTTTATTCCTTTGGTCCTGTTTGATCTCATGATGGCAAAAGGGTACCTGAGGCACCAGCAGCCCTGGAATGAACACCCTGAAGAGGCTGTGGTGGAGGAACACGAGTGATGAATGCTCTTATGTTCAAGTGCTCCATTTCAGCACCACACCAAGCTCTGACACTGTGGTGCCAGCCCAGGGCACACTCACCAAAGGCAACGTCACCGAAGTGCAGGGCAGGCACATCAAAATGGAAAGTGGGTCCCATCACAGAGCCCCTGCAGGGACAAAGGCAGGGAGGCAGTGCCTCTGTTAAAGGGAATCACAAAGGGTTTGGGTGTCTGTAGGCAGAGGATGGACAAAGGCAGGGAGGCAGTGCCTCTGTTAAAGGGAATCACAAAGGGTTTGGGTGTCCTTAGGCAGAGGATGGACAAAGGCAGGGAGGCAGTGCCTCTGTTAAAGGGAATCACAAAGGGTTTGGGTGTCTGTAGGCAGAGGATGGACAAAGGCAGGGAGGCAGTGCCTCTGTTAAAGGGAATCACAAAGGGTTTGGGTGTCTGTAGGGAGAGGGTGGATAAAAGCTGCTGTCAGAGCCACCCTGGGTTTCAAATCACCCCAGCACCCTGTGCTCAGCACAGCACCCATGTGGGCAGGAGGCAGCCAAAGCAAAGTGCTCTGCTGACAGATGCCCAAGTCCTTGGCACAGCCCCTGCTGCACAGTTCCTGACTCCCACATCAGCCCTTTGCTGGCTGTGCAAAGGAGGCACCAGAGCACTCTGTGCACAGGAGCTGGGAGCTCAGCTTGTCCCCCACGGCATGGCCATGAGAGGGGAGCTGAGGCTGCTGCTGCCCATCTGGCATGGATTATTAATGGAAGTTTTTAAAAACACTGCTGCTGCTGCAGAATCCTCCAGGCTGGCCCATCTGCAAAGCCCTGGGGGCCTTGTTGGGTGTTCAGGTGGGACATCCCAGAGCAGCTGCTGCCCAGAGCTGCTCCATCCCACTGCCTGCAACAGCCTAAGCAGGAGACATCCCTGCAGGGAGTAGCCACTCCTGCTCCTGGGTACCCACACAGGGCAGCAGGCACCCCCAGACTAAAGTGATGCCAGAGCCAAGATTAAGACGTCAGGCAACACCTTTTTTCTCTGTTCCACCACAAAATGAGGCAGATGGAAGATGATTACCCAGAGACAGCTACAGATGTGCCCAGCAAGCTCCCAAAGCCCTCCTCACCTGACAGTGAAGGTCACAGGCTTAGGGGATTCGGTCACATGGAAGTGGAATTCTTCCTCAAACTCCCCCCGGATGGTGGGACAGAAGGAGACCCGGATGACCTGGAGCTTCTCTGGTGCCACGATGCCCTCCTGGGGCAGGAAGGTGAAGCAGGAGCCCATGGCTGTGGTTGGAGGGATGAGCTTGAAGGGAGCCTCAATAGGCCCACTGTTGATCAGGTATGCCTGCAGCAGCAGAAAAGCAAAGTGGAACTACATGAGGAATGTTCCTTTCTTACAGAAGTCTGAGTCACTTTCAAATTAGACTATTAACTGCTGTAAAAGACAGAGGATGCCCTGTGCTGCTGCATGGCAGAAGCAAAAAAATACAACTTTGAAATACAGCTTTGTATAGCTTTGGGTTTTTCATGCAAAGCAGTGATAACTTCACATAATCAGAGTCACTCTGGGGTTTTCCCACTGGCAGAGACAGTCCACTTTGACCTGCAGCCCAGAGGGGCTGCTCAGCATCACCCAGTTCATTCACAGCTGGCCCTAAGAGCAGCACTGGGCATCACAGCATTACCAGTGTCATCACCACAGTGATTTCAAATGTGCCCAACCCCACCATGGGCAGGGCATGTTCAGCTTCCATTGCAGCCCAACCTGTTTACAGCAGGAGTGGGAGAAACCAGGAGCAAAGATGTAGAAAGTTCCTTTGCTTCTTTCCCAGAAACACTTGGCTCTTTCTAGAGCCAGAGGTACATCATGGCTGAAGTGTGGTGAGGGACTGGTCAGCAAGGGAAAGCACTGCCAAGGGCTTTGAGCAGTGCTGAGCCAGGAGGGTGGATGGTTTTCCTCTGACTCCCACGAATATGCAGGAGGGACATGACTGAAAACTGTTTGCAGTGGACTTGAAATCAAATGCAGCCAGTTTGTTCCAGCTGCTTTTGGACAGCCTGAGCACAAAGGTGATTTGTGTCTGGGACTGGAACAAAAGCCTCTGAACGTGCAGCTTTTGGACCCAGTGTTGGTTTCATGTGTCAAGCAGTTTTGCAGGAAGCCTCCCAGCTGATCTCCAAAGAAGACTGCCCAAAAGCAGGGACTGGGGTCTCATGAACAACAGACCCCATCCAAAAGATCCAGATTCCAAGAAATCCCCCAAATTTAACTAGTATCCCAACTACCCAAGTTGCCAGGAATTCCACAGGTCCACAAGGCTCACTGCTACCCTAGGAGCCACCAGGACCCACCCCAACCCTGCTGCTTACCTCATATCTGTGGGTTACTCTGACAGAAACCTCCCTGATGTTCATTTCCTCAAAGTGGAAATGGACCTGGGGCCCAAGGCCTTCCCCTGTGAGGAGCAGGGGCAGCCTGTTCTCACGGCCTGGGGAGAGATTTCTATTTCAGTACAGTAATTCCTTCTGCTATCCTGCATTTGCCAGGCTGCCTTAGTGCTAGTCCCTGACTCTGTGCTGCATGGGACCGGCTCCTGATGTCCCAGGAGCAGATATGGACCCTTCTCTTCCCTCAGGAGATGCAGTACATCCATAGAGACCATCCTTTCTTCTATCCCTATGTTGAGCATGGAACTTTAGGAAATGCCAGAAATTTTGTTTTTCCTACTTCTGGGCGCACCTCCCTTGGGTGTTTTTCCCAAGGGAGGAGGAGCAGACTAAATACAGGCAGCATTCAGAACAGCTGAGAGGGGAAAAAATCAAAATAGAGGAGATGCCCTGGAAGCTGCAGGGACAGTGGGCATGTGCCAGCACTGCCCTGCCGAGCACAGACCCTCCCCAGCAATGGCACAGGGGCCCAGTGATCTGGGGGAGTGTTTGCAGCTGGCCTTCGTTGCAGTGAGAGGGGCAGGGGAAGGAGCCGTACCCGAGATGTCGCAGTAAACTGTTCGCTCGTACACCTGGGCTGCCTGGGGCGTGAAGAACACGCTGATTTCAGCAGAGCAGTTCGGCCTGATCTCACCCTCCTAAAGCAGAAGGAGACACCCAAACATTCATCTTCAGACATCACATTTCTTGTTTTCAACCACAGTCCTGTAAGCTGTTATTTAGAGCATCAGTGACAAGCAAGGAGTGAGTAACACTCATAAGAACACTGACAACAGAGTTTGGAAGCTTTAGTCAGGCTCCTGCTGCCTGCCAGGAGCCCACAGGGCAGAAATGCTTTTTGCAACCAGCTCTCTGACCTCACCAGAATCCCCATGACTTCTCTCTTGGCACACAAAGCCAGCTGAGGCAGGGATCAGTCAAGTGACCCTACTCAGGGATGAGGAGAAGAGGAAGAAGAGAAGCAGGAAGGCAGGCTCTCAGCCATCATTTACCTTCGGCTGAAGGGAGAAAATGCCGTCTAACAGCATGAGATCCCCTCTGATCTTTGCTATCTCACTCTGGAAGGTGTGGTTGAGAAGAGCAAGGAGTTCTTGGCAAGTGATGTCCACTTCACGCTCCTTCAGAAAACCATACAACTTCTGCCTTTGCTGCTGATATATCCTGTGATACTGCCTGCAGGCATAGGAAAGACAAACCCAGCAGGTTGTTTAATGAGCCTTGTCTTTGCAGAGAGAAGTGGAAGTGCAGGAGCAGCTCCCCAGCAAAGGGCTGACCCTGAGCCATGGGGTCCCAAATGGATCAGAGGATCACTTGTTCACTCCACACTTGCAAGCTCAGGAGAGCTTTCCAAAGCCAGCAGCACTCAAGAGAACCTTCTGGCTCAAAGCCTCTGCCCCAGCTGAGGGAGAATCCAGCAGCCACCTCAGGCAGCTTTTCCTGACACACAAGTGCTTGGGGGAGGCAGGTAGCGATGGGCTGGTTTACTTACCCAAAGCCATTCAAAAGCACCAGTAGCTCCTGAAGCCATATGTTAGTTCTACCCTTGGGCAAGGCATGGCACTGAAATGGATCTTTCCAACCTACCTCAGCCTCAGCTGATCCTCCTGTTCCTGAGTAGCAACAGCCTTCCACTGGAAGCGGGCTGTGATATCACTGTGGTTGTGGATGAGCACAGTTGCGCTGTTTGACATGCTGATGTACGTCTTCTCCAGGGTCACAGTGTTCCTGTCCAGCCCGATTGGGGCCTCCACAGCTCTTCCATGAAGGCTTGTGTGGGTGTCTTCACCTGGAACAAAGCAAAGGGCAGTCTTTGCTCACTCACTGGCTGATGGAAGCACAAGGAACAGAGCAAACCACAGGCAGCAGAAGAAAGTGTCACAGCTTTTAGCTGAACGAGCAGTTCCATGGCTCAGTCCATGTATCACAAGCTGAGAGCTGCATGTGCACAGCATGACAATGTCCTGACAACCTGCCAGCATTTCACCCTCTAGACCAAACCCCTACCAAAGGCTCCCTCATTTCCAGAGCTTTCAAAGCTTCATTATTCCCAGCCAGCTCCTGGGATTCATCTGGGCTCAGACTTCAAGCTCACTGTTCCTGTTGCAGGTGAGCTTTTCCCAGGTGAGATGCAAACAACAAATACCTGACATGCTCTCTAGAAATGGCATTTACATGGAGCTCTACAAGGATCAAGATGACAAACTACACGACTACAAACCAGATGACTAGAAAATGAACCTCCTGAAAACTATCATCATCTCCCTCTTGAAAGCCACGGCCACAGCAGCCTTTCTGCTTAGAACAGGCTCTGCTCTGAGGGATGCACAGAGTGCCCTGCGCAGTGCCCAGCACTCACCTGTGTCGTAGTGCACAACAAGGGACCCGGAATGGTCACCAGTCTTCAGTGGCTGAAATTCCACTGCCACCTGCACAGCGTCACCAACATCCAGAGCTCCCGTGGTCGGAATGACAGAGAAAGGGCTGCAACACAGAGATGGTAGGACTCTTGGTGGAGATTTGGGGATGTTAACCCTTTTGCAGTCCAGTTCTGCTCACTTGTGCAAGCAAAGAGCAAACCAACCACAGTCAGCAGAAGACAGAAGAGACAGGGTCAGAACCAGCTGCTGACTCTAGTGTGAGGAGATCCAGCCCTCACAAGATCCTGTGGGATGAAATGACCTCATCTCCCCCATACTCTGTATCCAGCTCTCTGCAATGAGGCTCAAGGGTCCTTTGCATCTTGCTTACCTTCATCAGGCATCAGCTCCCCTTACTGACAGAGCTGACCAGTGAGCAAAGCTGGCAATTTTATGACCAAGTCTCTCAAAGCACCATTCACCTGCACTTTTGGTAAATGCTGTGTGCAAGGAGGCTGCAATCTGTTTCAAGTCCCATGGTACCATTATCTGCTACAGCCAAACATTCTTTTGTCCACTGGTGCCTTAACTGCCATTATTAAATGATTTTATTTTGGCAGAATCAATCTCATTAAAAATTGCCTCCCACACCAAGGAAGACAGAAAAATTATGGCTAATTGAATTGCCTCATGTGTCCACTAACACTTATTGCAGGAAGAAACCCAAATATCATCTAATCTTAACATACATTACTTTTAAGTGATGGTGTAACACCTGGCATCAAACAGCATTAACTATTCTAATAAATTCAGTCTGTTAGGTTACAGCAGCTCCATCTCTGTGCTGAAAAATTCTGTCCAGAGTCAGCAGCTCACAAGCTCCATCTTTCCCTCTGTCACTGCACCCCGGCTCTATTCCATCTGCTTCAATATTTAATTCCTGAAGTTCAGAAACTCTTTAAATCCCTATCAAGCAGGATCCAACATGCTCTATAGCACTCAATAGAACTGCTGGCAAGCACATTGTAAAAGGATACCAGACTTTATTGGGTATTTATTTTGGTGGTGACAAAACAAGATCTGGAAATCCCAGAGGAAAACCGTGCATGGATTTACAAGTTCCTGCCTACATATTTGCACTGTCAAATACGCAGCAGCCTGTTTGAGCAGCATCTGAGGAGCCTGGACTGGAGCTGCCAATAGCTTTGGCAGGCTTTGGTGGAAGCTCCTCTCGGACCCTCACGTTTCACAGCAGAAAAGTCAATTTGCCTTTTGACCTCTGTTTTGCCAGGGAAAAAAAAATCAAAGCCACTCAGTTGCCTGAGGTTAGACAGCAGGTCTGTGCTGCATTCCTGAGCTCAGCTCCTACACCAAGACCTCTGGAATCACATAACTTTCAACACACCACCAGCCAAGTGAACTGGTTTCCTTGCAGATATGGTGTCAAAAATGCATTACCCTCTCCAACCAACAGCAGAAACAGTGATTGTCTTCTGAGACTGACAGGAACAGCACAGGCTGTCCACAGCACAGCTCACATGAGGCATCTGATGCAGGGACCACTGGAGAGCCACGTGCCTGGGGCCTCCCAGAGAATGGGTCTGTTTGGCTGGCAGTGGTGAGTAAGCATTTCAGAAGCTGCTTGTGCTCAGCAAGCCAGCTACCAACATGTTCCAGCACCCTCCAGGAAATCTGGGACAGAGAAAGCTCAAAGGCTGCATCCTGCTAAGGACACTGAAAGCAAGAGCAGATGCCATCCATCCTGCTCACTTCCAGCCAGGGCTGCAGGGCAGCAGCTCTGATGCTCTGGTTCCTTTGCTGCTCTTTCCCAACTCTGCTCTCACCCAAAGGTGATATCCTTTGCACAGGGACAGATGAGCTGCCTCACCTCTGGGTGCTCAGCTGGTAATAAGCTCTCCGGTTACCAACATTGTGAACCAGCAGAGTCTTCTGGATGCTGTGCTTGACCGGACACTCGGAGAAGTCCAGCTGGTCAGGAAAGTCCAGGATGGCTCGGGGACCAATGGCCCGGATTGGCACAATGAACTCTTCCCTTTCAGTGGTGCAGGTGAGCTCATAGGAATAATCCTGTGGGAAAAGAAACTGTCTCAGCACAGAGCCTTTATCCCCATCTTAAGCACAGGCAAAGAGTATCTCCCAGTTCTAGATCCTCTGATACCAGAACAGGTCCTCAAAACCCAGGCCAGATGCCCTGAATCCAGCCTTGCAGGTCCACTTTCCACTGCAGACACCAACCTCTTGGGCCCTCCAGACTCACCTTTTTCTGCCCAGGGGTGAAGAGGATGCGGACAGTCATGTAGAGGCCCGGTGGCACCTTGCGGCACGCGTCATTGGGGCCCACCAGCTGGAAATAAGGTGAGATCTTCATGGTGACCTTCACCAAGTGAGGAACCTGCAGGAGAGACATGGAATGATGGTTTTTCCACTTGTGGAGACAAGTGGACATGCCCTGGTGCCATCCTTAACCACTCTTCTGTGCTCTCCTCTTCCAGCACAGCGTTAAACCTCCACGTCCCGGCACTCACCTTGTCCCTGTTCCTCAGAATCAGCGGCACTTCACAGACCTCATTGGGGCTGTAGTTCTGGAACACCACCTCTGGTGGGCAAGGCTGAATTGAGCTCTGCTCTGGGTCAGCTGCTGAGAACTGCAAGAAGAGGCCAGAGAGAGCAGAGACAGGTTCAGCTGCTGGGAGGAAGATTCTGCTCCGATCCCCAGTGAAGTAGAGACTCTGGGTGAGCACATCTGCCCAGCCCACACTGCGCAAACAGTGGCTCTCCCACCTCTGCCCTGGGCTGATGAAAAGCTCCTGGAGCAGGCTGAGCAGGCTCAAGCCAAGCTGCTCTTTTGGCATCCTCCTCAATTCTCACATCAAACAGCAAGGGCAGGGAAAGGCTACCTTGTGATGGGAGGTCCCAGGCTTGTCTTGAGGCTGGACAGCCTGAGGCAGCCTCAGCTTCTTAGCTCTGGCCAGCCTCTGCTTGGTGCTCAGAGACATCTCCTTCTGGAACGCAGAGGGAGTCAGCTGAAAGGCAAAAATCCAGCAAGAGTCTCAGAAATGCCCTTGCTCATGAAGGCTTTTCTTCTTCACTTATTACTGATGAATAATTTGTGATCACAGCCATTAGGACAGTTCTGGAAACCCTGGAAGTTGCCTGCTGAAATACTTAGCACCAATAAATTAATAATACAGAGTGCAATACACATACTCCAGCCACATGGCTCTGTCCCATGAGTCTCTCTGTGGTTTGATGGGACATGTTTGGGGATTTCTGCTCTTGGGGCATTTGTTTCCTCTTACATTTCACTGGATTGAGGCAGTGACCTTTCCAGAGAGTGGGGAGGAGCTCTCAGAACTGCCTGAACTCCACCCCTGCACAACACTCAAAACTCACAGGCAGGAGATAGCACTGCTGGCTGAGTCCAAGGGAAGCAAGGAAGACAAGCTGTACCAAGAGTGAGGTGCACAGGAATGTGTCCAAGTTTTAGCTCTCTCTGTTACTTAGCATTGATTTTCTCTGTCTGGGCTGACAGAGCCCTCGAGAGAAGAAAACAGAGGGATGTCCTTGGCAGAGCCTCAGCAGTGGGGCATCTTCAGTCAAGTGAGCTGCAGACAGCAAGGGACCTTTGTGGCCCTGGCTCCAGTGCTGCCTGCAGGGCTGCATCTGTGCCCACCCAAAGCAGCTGTTAGGAGAAAATGCAGACAGGCTCTGTGTCTAGGGGGCTGCAAGAGATTTCCCCCTTGGAGGCGGACAGACCCCAAAGCCCAGGAAAATTTTGCCTGTCTGAGCAAAAAAGTCCTAAACGGGCTGAGTTATGGGAGAAATCTCAGCATATAATAGCAGTTAACACAGACAGTTTTTCCCTGCCACTTTTGTTATTTTGTTGGGCTGGGAGCAGCCGGAGGGTCCGGCTCCCTACAGAACCACTTCTTCCCTGTCTGTCTACGCTGCTGTCGCCGCTTCCCCGCTCGCCACGGCAACCCAGTGCTCCGCTGTTCCGCCGAGGGAGCAGCCGCCGTGCCCCGACCGGGACAAACCGCGGCTGCTGAGCCCGGCCCGGCCGCAGTCCGCGGGACCCCGCTGCCGGCCCATGGAGCCCGGCCCGGTGCCGGCCGATGGAGCCCGGCCCCGCTGCCGGCCCATGGAGCCCGGCCCGGTGCCGGCCGATGGAGCCCGGCCCCGCTGCCGGCCCATGGAGCCCGGCCCCGCTGCCGGCCCATGGAGCCCGGCCCCGCTGCCGGCCCATGGAGCCCGGCCCCGCTGCCGGCCCATGGAGCCCGGCCCCGCTGCCGGCCCATGGAGCCCGACCCCGCTGCCGGCCGATCCAGCCCGGCCCCGCTGCCGGCCCATGGAGCCCTTCCCGCTGCGGCGGGCACGCACGCTGGTGCGGTTGGCAGCACTTGCTCCATCTGCTGAGCAGGAGCCGACACAGCGCCTCAGGGCTCTAGCGGTGACGCTCTGTCCCTGTTCTGTGTTACTCCCTCTGTTTCTCATTTTCTCTCTTTTCTGTCCCCCCTCTGGTCGGGACCATGCCATTTCTTTATCAACAAACAGTTTTCAGATACACTACTTGCTGGGTTTGTGCCTTATTTTCCTCTGAGAAATCTATCAAAAAGAATTCTCCTCTGCTCCCCTTCCAGCAGGACAGGACAGTGACCCACGCACCTGTGCCTCCCGCCGGTGTCTGCCTCTGACAGCAGAGCCACCCACCAGCCAAGGCCGTGGGGGAGTCTGTCAGGAGAGCACTTGTTTGACCTTCTCTGGCCCCAGCAGAAATTGCTTACAGCCCTGTCTCTCTCATGGCTGGGTTTGGGGTTTTCCCCTCTGACTTTTTTCCCCCTTCCCCACCTCCCCCCCTTTTTTCCCCTTTAACACTCTCCTGAGCCACCTGACACAGGGCTGGGCTCAGTCACTTGTGCTACTTAGAGTGGTGGGGTTGACCAGAAACACACCAGGCAGACACTTGTCTGCAGGGCTAGGCTTTAGCACCCACTTGAATTCAATCTTGCCACCGTTCACCAGGGTGACATCGCTGTGATGAATTTCATTAAATATCTGGAGAGAAGGCACAGGAGAGGGAAGTTACAGACCAGGCCTGCTGCTGGGAATCTCCTTCCTCCCTCCTGGGCTTGAAAGCAGACACATCATGGGAGCAGGGACCAGGGAGGAGATAGGGGCACTTGGGAACCTGGGGAACCCCCAGGCACAGGGCACCTGCACAGCACCAGGGAGCTCTGGCAGCACACAGAGCTGTGGTAACAACCATGTGAGGGCCAGCAATAAATGAACCAGGGCACACAGGCCCTCTGCCCTCTGAGGGGTCACCCACAGCCAGGAGAAACAGAGACAGCACTGAGGCATTCCAGGAGAAAAGGCACCTGCATGCAAGTATTGGCAAGCAACATAGATGCAACAAGGGAGTCACCCAGGGCAACACAGACAGGGCCAGCAGCTGGAAATATCTGTGGGCTTTTGACTGGAAAAGAGTGAAGTGGGGATTATTCTGGGACAGTCTCTCCAACGGTAGTGACTGGAAGCCCAACTTCTTCCCTTGATTATTGTGTGGATTAAGCAAGAGCTTTAGACAAGAGCATCTCCTTGGAGGTCAGGCTTTAGGTGTGGATCAGCAGAGAGATGTCTCAGGGACACACCCCTCAGAGCACCCCCACTGGGACCCTGCCTGCCCCAGGAGGCAGTGTTAGGTACCCTGAAAAAGAGGCATTCCCAGCATTGTGGAGAGGGTTGGAGATGGCCATTTTAGAGCAGCTTGGATGCCAGATGTGTCCCTCAAAGGTTGGGCTTCCAAGCCCCAGAGCCAACAAAGGGGCTGGGAAGGGAAGGGAGCCCTGGAGCGAGGTGGGCAGGAACCTGCTGGCCGTGGTGCCAAGGCAAGGAGCTGTGCCAGGGATGTGTGTGGTACCTGTAAGCCACAGTTGATCTCCTGGGGCCTCACGAGGTAGCTGAAATGTGAGATCTCCCCGGTCACCAGCACCTCGTAGGTGGGGCCTCCCTCCACGTGGCACAGCGCCGTGACATCGGAGATGGTGTTGAGGTGGCCAGAGAAGGTGAAGGAGACCTGCTGGCTCTCACCTGGCTGCAGCACACCTGACATTGGCAGGATACTGAAAGCCTGGATGGAAGACAGGAGAGCTTGAGCTGTTGAGCATGGCAATGGATGCAGAAGAGCATCTTGGAGCAAAGTGCAGCTGTACCTGGAGGGGCCTATTCCCCAAACACTGCCAGAATCACCCTCATCTCATCCTGCATCCATGCCACTGACCAGTGCAGGGACCATGGGGAAAATCTTCTCCCACACTCACAGATCAATGCATTAATTAGTACATTACGTGAAAGTGAACTGGGATGTCTCCTGGCAGTAGAAATTCTCTCTGATGCACAACTTGCCTTTAAAAAGCATTTCTTACTGCTTTTAGAAAAGGAGGAGGCTCAGAGTGAGAGCTCTCGGAGCTGAGCGAAGGACTCCAGCCCAGCTCATCTGACTCCTGAGGCTCTTCCCCTCTCTCTGATTTAAATGCTGCTTTCTCAAGGTGCTACAGCAAAAGCTCCTGCAAAAGTTTCCTATGGACCACCTGAGGAGTTCCAGGGGGAGCAGTGCCCTCCATAGGTGCTGCAAAGTGTCCTTGGGCAGCCCTACAACGTGTCCTGCATGGCCTCTCCAACTACCAGTTGCTTCAGCAGCACTTTGTGATGGGCCTGCAGGGATGGGAGGCCCCTCTGTGGCCAATGCTGAGGCCCACCAGTGGCACTGGCAGCTCCAGCCCTGCTTGCCACACTGACAATGTGCAAGTGAGACAGATTCCCTCCTACCTTCTCTGCTTCGAGGGAAGTCTGCGGTTCGTCCACGGAGCTGCTGATTCCCTCAAACCCTACTTGGAGGCGGGGGAATTCAGGAAGTTGATCTGATTGCACCTGAAAAAGAAGCCATTTTCTATGCTGGGAGGAAGAGACAGCCACTTTGCAAAGTCTCTGTTTGTAAGACAGCTCCAGGGCCAGCAGTGCAATAGCAGCTCTGGGTGAAAGCAGAGCCCTGCAAACAGGGAGTCTGGCTGCCTTGGGAAGAGGCTCCATGGAGATCAGGACTCATCCCAGCTTGCTCTGGGAAGGAAGCTGGAGGCCTTACCATGATGATGCAGATAAAAGCCTCATCTTTCATTGTGAAGGCAAAAAATCCCACACTCAACACAGGTCTGTAGGACCTGAGTGAGCTTCTCCAAGGAAAACTCTCCTATTTCTCCCTCCCACACAGCCCATGTCCAGCCACTGGCCCTGCTGCCCAGCCCACAGGACAGCAGGGCAGCAAAAAGGGAGGTCAGCACGAGCATGACTTGGTGGTGGCAGGCTGGGGAGGCAACACAAGCAGTAGATGTACAAGAAAATCTACCTTGTCTCTTAAAGACTGGGTAGAATCATCCACTTCTTTCAGCATTCTGGCTGCCGGCTCCTGTCTCATCTTGAAGTGTCTCCATCGAGATGCTGGGGACTTCAAACTGGTATTCTTCCCTTTTGGTGGTTGGGGTTTGAATTTAGGTGGGCAAAGCTCATCTCTGGAAAATAAGATAACTATTGTGAAAAATGCCAATCACTTGTTTTCAAAATTTTAAAAGTTTAATAGTAATAAAATGGTTATAAAAATAGTAATACAATTAGAGTAAAAATAATTTGGACAATTTGAATTAGGACAACAAATGGGACAACAAATACAAAGAGTTATGGACGTCTGGGTACCTTTTTCTGGGCAGCACGAGCCCAAAAAAGGACCCCCACTAACAAAGGATTAACCCTTAAGAACAATAGCCCGTTGCATATTCATACACTTCATACATGATGCATAAATTCCATTCAAACACAGGATTCTGTCTGGTCTTCATCTACTTCTTCCTTCTAATCCTAACAGTGCCTTCGAGGCGGGAAGAAGTTCATTTCTTCTGATAAGAGAGCAATAAATTCTTTTCTCTGAAAGATTTAGCTGTCCTGTGGCTGCTATCTGGTTCGAGTGCCTCATTCCTTTCTAAAAAAAACCCCACTGACATAGTTCTTATTGTAACTACAAAAGTTACCTTTTAATTACAAGAGTACAAGGACTAGGAGCCCTTCATCAAGGTGGACATGGTCTCAGGTCACAGAGGTCTGAGAAAGCAGCTTTCACCCCAGCTTTCCTTCCCAGGGGAAACCACTGTGGGGGCTGTGCAGCACCAAAGTGGTGGAAAACCTATTCCCTGAGCATCCAGCCTGAGCACAGCTGCTCAGTGCCATTTGTCAGATGCCAGGCAAACAGCTTTGCTCTTGGCCAAGTACAAACAGGACACAGCAAGAAGAGCTTCAAGGGGAGGGCAAAGGTGCACATACCTAAACCTGGTCACCTCGCTGTCGGAACGGAACGACCAGCGGTACTGGACGGGCAGTGGGCTGAAGTTGGTCATCTCCAGGGAACGCACTTCTTCCGTGTCAGGCCTGATGAAGCCAAACTCCACAGAGCTGGGCTCCATTTTGAGATTTGGGAAGTGAACTTCTCCCTCAAGGCTGATACGCTCCACAAAAGGATGGCCCCTGACCATGTCTATCTTCAGAACCTTCTGTTTTCTCCAGCTCTTAAAATCCAGTTCATAAGCTGGGTCAAACGCGACATAGAGATGAAGTTCCTTCCCCACATCCACTCTCAAAGGCTGCAAGGAGATGAGCAGTAATTAATCACCTGTGGGATGATGTCCCAAGGTCTGACAGCATGAAACAGTAAATGCTCCAAGTGACCCCAGCACGGGCTTCTCAGTTCATGGTTCATCTCTCTCCAGCAGGGCTCTGGCTGCAGGCACCACAGTCCAGTCCAGGATCCCTCAGGCTCCCGTTTCTGTGCTCAGCCCCAGAACAAGGGGGTGGCTGCTGGAGAGCTGGCATGGCTTTCCAGGAGACACCTTCCCTGCATGGCTTGCCCAGACCCAGCTGCCTGCTCCCTTCTCCCTGTGCCTTAAAGCCAGGATGGATCTTCTCAATTCAGATAAGATTTTGATTCCTTCAGCAGCTTTGCTGATGCAGCTCAGGCCAGCCCACTGCTGATGCTACAGAATAAACTTCTTGACTCAAGGAGCTCCCAACAGAAAGGCACCACCACATCCCTCCTCTTCAGACCCCACTGGAGGAGGCCAGGGCTGCTCACCTGGCCACCTGGGAGGGGCTGC